TATCTGAACAATTTAATTTATGTTCAGTTACTGATTATGAGTATCAATAAATTATGGTGTATACTTGGTCACCATGTGATTTAATATCTTAAGTTTGGGCTTTGATGTTTGGATGGTTTTAATAACTGTCATAATTGTTCATTCTGTTCCCAATACATATGAAATAAGCTTCAATAATAAGTGTATTCACTTTATCACCTGCTGGCTAGAGAATAAAGTAACAAGTAATATGATTGTCTATGGAAATTTCTGACATTTTTTCACTGCAGTAAATGTACTCATTTGAATACATCTGTTTTATAACCAAACTGCCCTCAGAATCTAGACAGTATATCTCAGAATATAGACAGTATATCTGAATTAGAATGCCATTCCTCATTTATCTTGGAATGAATGATTATTTCTTCCCCTCTGTAATGGTTTGTCTATTATTCTGATACTGTCATTAAGATAGGACACCTAAGTGCTAACCTGTTTTCAGGGTTTCTCATTTTTAGTGATAGTTGTCTGAGCACCCTGTTGTTCTGGTTATTTTTGAATCTCACTGAGATATACTTCAGTCTGTTAATGTAAATCTTTTTCAGCTTTGGGTGAACTTCTTACAAGAGCTCTTGGTTTTGACAGCTGAAATTAGCTAATTTCTCTTAATGACATGGGCTAGGTCACAGATAAATTTGGAAGGGGTCTGCTTAATGCATGACATCATTAAATATGTACTTTAAAAAATGGGCCACCTTGAACCTGTAACAGTGACATGCAGCCACTCACAAGACTGAGGCAGGAAGACTGCCTGAACCCCAGCAGTTTGAGGCCAGCCTGAGTAACATAGCAAGCCTCTGTTTCAAAAAAGAAGAAAGAAAAACTCCAGTTTAAAAAAAACAAAACTTAAGTCTCTACAGTTCACTACCTTTTTTGGTTTGAACCAGTTCAACTTATCAGCTCTCCATAGGGGCTGGTAATTTGAAGTAGGAAAAACTAATATGAACTTCACATTTTCATTTCAATTTAAATTCCAAGAATTCTAGATTCTCTTGAGCCAGTGTGCTATCATAAACAGGTTAAGATTGGAGAGGAAAACTGCTGCCCCATGCTCTTGAGTGACAACCCTTGTCCTCTCTTCCCCTAGAGGAGAACCCAAAGCATTGTTGAATAGCACTGAAATGAGCTGTGTCCAAGACTTTAGCCAGATGGTCAAGATAGGGCTTTTAAAGTAAGGGAAATGGTGAAAGATTAATCTCAGAGGCACTGTCTTTGTTAAAGAACTGAGAAAATGAAGTCTTTTGATGCTAAGTGTAAATTATACCACCTTCCTCTAGGAGTAAAAGCTTCTAAGTATAACAGAAAAAATGACAGTGTAGGAAATCAAAGTTGAGGAACAAACTTTCAAGTGTGGTATTCAAATGCTTACTTTATTCTCCTCTCAAAATTCATTGCTTTTCCTCCCCCTTCTCTGGAGTCTGTTTGAAAGGGATTTTGATAGGTAATGGCAAAGGAAGGCAGTGGTAGAGTATAAATTAGGACATCAGATGCCCTTTGTACAAGAATTATCTTAAACATGCTTTTGAAAACAATCTCTTTCTTAGCTTTGTTAATAATCAAAGGTGTGATTTTTTTAAAAATCTTAGTTTAGTCTACTTTCAGTAATGAGGATATAGGTACCAAAATAAGCCAACCTTTTTTTCTTTCCTGGTTTCTGCTTATAAGATTTACACATATTTAAAATAAACCCATGAAAAACAGTAATAGTGTCGTGGGATTGGCGAAACAGTCAGAGCAATTACCTCCAGCCTCCAAAATCCAACTGAGTTTAACTTTTGGAAATAAATTTGGCTAACACTTCTTCCTCATTCTGCTGTATAAAGGTGTACATGAAATGATACTGACTCTGCCAGAAACCCCAGGAATCCTATTCAGTGATGTAGTTGTAACAGTCATGAAAGAACTAAAATAACACAGATGTGGATTAAAGTGAAAAAGTAGGCACAACCCTGAATTTTCATCGTGTGGTTTCAACGTGGCAGATCCTTTAAAAATATTTGGGCATACCACAATAATTACAGGGTTTGAGGACATTGAGTTAAGATATCTAAAAAATTAAAATCCACAATTGAGTAAGAATTAACTATGTTTTTTTTGTTGTTATTGTTGGTTTTGTTTTTTTTTTTGGTACCGGGCATCGAACTCGGGTCCTTGCGCTTGCACAGCAGGCAGCGAAACCACTGAGCTAAATCCCCCACCCAAATTAACTATGTTTTTAAAAATTAGAATTTATGTAGTTGCCCTGGTGAAAAAAATTTGAAATATTTAACATAATATTTTGTGCAGCAGTTGCAATATAAATAGGCAGAGCTCAAAGATTTATACTTACAGACATGTTTAATGTAAATGATTGCTAGAAAGGAAGTACATTTTCTTCAGTGCTATGGAAAGAAATTTTAATTGACTTGATTTTGGCAGAATCATACAACTTAGCATTAATAAGTCAAATTTTAAAATATTTGCTCATTTCTCTGCATTATGACTGTGTTCAAGAAATACTATTTTCAAACCCCAATTAATCATTTTAGGTAAACTTTTTAAAAATACATTTATGGGCTCAACGAGTATGACTGTTTATTACGTTTTACCTATAAAAGCTGAACTGTGCACGGTCATAAATTAAAAGATGCAACTGTTTGGATATTTTACTGGTGGTCCTGTGTTTTCCTGCCAGCAGTGCAGCTGTTTCAGGTTTCTCAGGATAACATATAAAAAGCTGTATGCATACTGCAAGTTTATGCTGCAGTTGCCAAGCCAGAGATGGTATGACTCAACTTTCCCAGAAGCGAGCTGTACCAAACTGCGACAAATCAAAACAGTTGCACAGTGGTTTGTATTACAGCTATGAAAACCAATTCTTATTTGTGATAGTTGGCTTCTTAGAGTTGACAAACATTCTCCTGTGGTGCTCAGATTCTCTAATGAGTGAACAGCTATTGGAGTTGATGCAAACTATGCTTTTCTTTTGAGGGTCTGAGGAAAGGAGTGATAGAACATCATTTGGTGTCTGTGGATAAAATTATCTAGAAACTTGTATTGGGAGTGGAACATTTCACTGCCAAATTATGTGTAAAAATATCACTTATTTCTATAATAGTTATTGATTTCCCAGTGAAACCAGCCTAATTTTTAAGACTTTTAAGTGACTTGATACCTCATTTCCTATGCATCAGAATCTTAACAGTTGATATTATGTTGTGGGAGGTAATAAGCAGATAACTTTGACTGTGTGGTAGGTTTGGTGAATCCCTATTGAAATCCTGTAGACATAAGGTTCTATTGAGGGTTTGACAATGACTAGTCCCTCCAAAGTGCAATGTATCCCAGGAGGACATATAAGATAGAATATAGAGAAAAAATATTAAAGTTTTTATTCAATAATTTTATTTCAAAGCTGGATGTGGGTGGTACACACCTGTAATCCCAGCACTTGGGAGGCTGAGGCAAAGGGATTGCCACCAGTTTGAGGCTAGACTGGGCTACATAGTGAGTTCAAGGCCAGCCAGTACTATGTAGCAGGACCCTGACTCTGAAAAAGAAATTTTTATTAAATAACAACTTTATTTCATACTTTAAATTTTCTATTTACACGTATTTTATATTTACTATATTAGTGTATTGTGTAATTATGTTATATAATAACATGTATGTAGGAGCACAGTATGTATATACTTTGTAAATAAATACACAGTTTGAAAATATATGGGCAAATATTTTATCCTGCTATACAGTGCCAAAATAATTTTAGATTATAGCTCAATAAATAGTATTTCTCCTCTTCTCTTGTCCCATTCCAGCCTTGGCTAGAAGCAAATAATTGAGTTAACAACTTGATTTGTGGCAATGTGAATAAATTGTACCCCCTTCTAGGAGCTTAGCCTGTGTCTTATTTTAACCACTTTTTCTATTTGGTCTCTTACCTTGTCATGTAATTTTTAATCACACAAAGTTATTAAACATGGATACAAATGAAAACCTGACTTGTTATGTTAGGTATAATAAATTGCTCATGTGTTAACATCTTGACACACAGGAAGTCTGGATGAATGAGTGGAAAAGGTTCCAAGTTATTAAAATGTTCTGTTACCTGATTTATTCATTTGCCATAACCATAATTCCTAGGTGGGTGAAGCAGCTTAACTTCCTGAGACCTGAAGAAACAATGTGGTTTCCTAAACCAGGCATTAAAGCAAAGCTGGAAATATTTGTTTTCCAACAATGTTGATAACCATGCTAAAGAGTAGTCCCTCTCTGGCTGGAATTGTCCTGTATTTTTCAAGGCCTGTTTTGTCTGTTTTTATCAAGGTAGAAAGTTTTAGTTGCTAAAAACACTGTGTGTGATTGAAGAAAACTTGTTTCTCTTATACTGTCTTTTGAGATCAATTCAAAAGACTCTTCTCTACTCATTATTTGAGATATTATTTTGAACTCAGGCTCAGACTCAGAAATTCCTTGGACTTGTCATTTTCTAAGAATCCCTTTCCTAGAAGGAAGAAGACTATATATACTTTTGGAATATTGGTAACAAGTATGTTCTCTCTCCTTTCTGCTATTTGCTTAGGTATTTAGGGGTTTGCGCAAAAAGTTTATATAAAAATACTGGTACTATAATCATAAGTGTGATAGTGTATATTTTTAAAATATGCAAGGAGAGGATTAGGTGCCCAAACAGTAGCCAAAAAACATCAGGCCTGAACACTGAAAGACTGAAAATTTTAATAGCAAGTATTTTGAAACTCCTTCAGAACTGTTTTTAGACCATACTGTAATTTAGTTCTAATTTAGACAATTCATGTACAGTTGGCATGTCTTTCAAAAGGTAATAACCCAGTAATAAAAGCTTGAACATCTCAATCTCAGAATTCCTCTCTTAAAACTGAAATGTTTCATTCTTGTTTTGTAAAATGCTACCAATGTGTATGTGCTTTCTGTGTCATTGCTCCACTTTCGTTTTGTTTTAGATATTTAAACCATGTCAGAGCTGCTTCGCCACAGGACCTTGCTGGAGGCTATACTTCTTCTCTTGCATGTCACAGAGCACTACAGGATGCATTCAGTGGGCTTTTTTGGAAGCCCAATTAACCTTGATTTTGCCTTGTATAAGATTTGGACCTTGGAGCTGAACCAGGGAACTAGAAAAGTAAAACAAACTTGTAAAATGATAGCCATGTGCAGCTGTACAACAGTACTATCACTAACACCTGTGTTAAAATATTTATACAGAGAAAATTTCAGATCTAAGATGAGAAATATAGGGGATACATATTTGTGAAAAAGATTTATTTTTTACTTATATTTTTTCTGAATTGGATTGAAGCAGTGAGCCTAATCTGATGGAAGAGAAGAATAAATAATCCATAGATGTATGTTTAAGGTTGACAGACTTGTAAAATCTTTTAAAAAATAAAGTTAGACTTTATAGTACGTTTTGTGGTTTTTCTTATTACACTGTTTTACTTGAACACATTTTAAAATGCCATTTTGATTACAACATTTAGTGTTAATATCCAGCTCTATTATTTCTTCTCATAAAACTCCTTTTTTCCTAATGTCTTCTTAGAACTAGTCCAGACAAGTGGATATATTCCCTTCTACTAACAGGTTGTGGCAAGTAAAACCTGACTTGTGATAATGTCACTCCCTCAATTTTAAGAACTTAATGCCAGTTTTGAGGAGTGGAAAGTGAGGCAAACCTGGATCAAGGTGGTTCCCAGCTGTGAGGCAGTCAGGATAAACCAGAGCACAGCATTAACCTGCTTTATTGACAAATTCAAAGAAGCAAGTTAATAAAATTTAATACCTAAATGTCCCTTTCACCTCCAGTATGAGCTCATTTTATGATGAAATGTTGGAGACTGGAAAAGGTACAGTTTAAGTGAAATATACCTATGCATAGTAAGTTGTAGACTCTGATGTAGTGTTCCTTTGAAACTTCAAAGGCTTTTATTATACCCAGGGTTTTGCTTAAAGAGTGTGGATGTGGATAGGCTGGATATATTTGTAGCATCCCAGGTTTGTATGGGTCTGTTGCATAGGTCACTGGATATGGGACACAGTTTCTCAAGCAAATTAAAGAATTTCCTATCAAATTTCCATCACAACAGATGTTGGTTTTATAGGTGGAAAGCTGTGAACCAAGACTTGTGGTGAAATAGCCACATGTAATAAATTCATCTTATTTTATTAAGTAGAGATTAAATTCAGGAGTACATATTCATCTTTACATTTCTATCTGGTAAATGGGAAAACCAAGGCACTGAATAATTGACTAGACCATAATACTATACACAGGTTGATAAAATACCAGAATTAAGAACACACGTTGGTATTTAATCCAAGTCCAATTCTAGGTATACTCTACCAAGGTACCTATCTTATTCCTTAAAATCTTGAGGATTTAAATTTTTAAATATAAGGCTGGTTGTGGTAGCACACGCCTGTGATCCTAGCACTTAGGAGGCTGAGGCAAGAGAATCACTTTGAGTTTGAGGCCAGGCTGAACTACCCAGTGAGAATGTCTCAAAATAAAAATTTAAATCTACAAATCTGTTCAAATAGAATATTGAACTTAGTTGAAGCTTTGTTACATTCAACTGCAAAAATAATGTACTTAAAAGAGAATGAAATAATGAAATAATACATTTTGAAGGCTTTCAAGACTTATTCTGAGTTTACCTTAAAATTGTCACCTGAATCCTATTATTATCAAATGAAATGAAAGATTGAATGACAACAAATATTCTAAGTTGATGTGCTTACTTCTCAACCTCCCAGTGATTTATTTCCTCTTTCAGGACAAAGACTACATCAGTCTTTCATCTACATGAATCAAGTCTTTTACCATTTTACAACACTAGTTTAGAAATAATATTTTAACAATTACTGTTTACCTATGTGCCAGGCACTATGATTCATGCGTTGTATTATCTAATCCTTACAACAATACTACTATTACTTTTCCTACTTTAACAGATGGAGAAGTAGAGAAATATGTAACTTGCCAGGAATCCATACAATTTAAATTAGCAGAACTGGGATTTGAATGCAAGGGATCAGGCTCCAGAGTCCATGCCACAGAGTTGACTGCCAAAGTTGGATAACAGCGATGCTAAAACCAGATCTAGGTGGTTCAACTTCATAGACCTTCAGGAAATTTTATAGAGCAAGTATCTAGATCTTTTATGAGACATAATGACATCAACTCAGTGATCTTGTTAATTTCCTGAGTTCATTATCTTGAAAATGCATTTTCTAATACCTGTACTCCCTCTCAAGCAGAAATTAATGGTATAGAATGCACTTACATAACAGGATGCATTATGACTTAGTATTCTTTGATTAAAATAGTTCATCTAAAAGCTTTGCTTAGAAGCTGACTTTGACAGCCAATAAGTCATCAGAAAATAATTCTAAAATTCAATCAAGGTGGTAGAAAACTTGTCAAGTTAACAAAATTAAAAAATTGCATCTAATAAGCTTTATAGCTGTCATTTCCTAGTAGATTATAAAGAGTTTATTTACTAGGTATCATATCAAAGTTTAGGTGGGTCTAGATTTAAATAGTGAAATAACCATGTGCTCACTTACCCCAAGTGAGAAAGGGGAGAGCTAAATATTAACTGAAGTATTTAAGTATTCTACTTTATGTATAGAATATCTTCTCCAATTGAAGGATGACTAAATGGAGCCAAAAGTCTTTCTACTTTACATATGTAAGAACATTATTTGTAATATATACTTCATGACCCAGCAAATTACTGTACAGTACTTGGGTTGAGTTTCAAAACAATTTAAATGTTGCTAGACAAGAGGGTCTCTTAATTCATTACTTCCCTACTACATCTTGTACCATTTATTGCCTTAATTTATGTACATTAGCTGTCAGGCTTTAGAAGATAAGTATTTGAGGTTGTGATTAATGATCGAGTGAAGGGGTCCTCAACCTTTTTTTTTTTTTTTCATACTGGGGCTCAAACTCAGGACCTTGCGCTTGCCAGGCAGGCGAGGTGCCACTGAGCTACATCCCCAGCCCCACTCCAACCTTTTTCGGGGTAGGACCAGAGTAAATTTTTAAGGCTTTTCAGGCTAAGAGGCAAATCAAGGACATTATATATGTACTTAGGAGATATAACAAATAGCCACAACTTTTTGACAAAATTCAAAATACAATGAAATACAATTTTTTTGTAATACTCTTGGAGAGGGATAACATTACCTTTAATTGGAGATCTAATTATGACCTGTCATCAAAGTTAACTGCAAATAATCACCTGTCGATGGTTATCTGTGAATGAGATTTTACATTTTAGAAAAAAATATCTTTTCATACAACAGGTACTAGTAAATATTTTTCAATCTAGGACAGTGGTGGTGAACCTATGCACATGTGCTGCAGCAGGCTGTTTGTATCATAGAAAGCTCTACAAGCTTTGACATCGTGGTTCTAGGAGTATATATTAATTGAGCATATTCATTACTTGAAAGGCAACTGTAAAACTCTTAATAATTCCTTTGATACCTGCCTTTTAATTGTCATTAATCACTTCCAGTTGATTAGATAGACGCTCCTGAACTGCAGTTAGATTTTGAAATGGGGAAGTTTTCCTGGTTTTGCACCAAGGCTGCCCAAAATGCTGAACTTAAGGATATATCCACTAATTTGTGAGGATGGAAATCTTAATTTTTGAATAGCAAGAAAGATGTATAAAGTAAGATACTGGAATCCAAATGTCAGTTGTTTTACTACAGTATATTTCACATTAAAGTTATTTTAATCTTAGGTTGTATTCTTTTAAGAAATATCAAGTCTTCAACAACATCTAATTTCCAGTCATTCAGTGTTCCAAAATTATGTTTAAGGGTGGTTCTTAAGAAAAATTTAAATCTTGACTTTTAAGCCCAAAAACTGTCAAAATGCTAATAAGAAAGTCAAACTGAGGTAGGGTAGGTTAGGATACTCACTTTCAATTTCTGACATAACTCAAGGAATTAGAATGGTTAGCTGTGAAAGCAAATGAAGTTTACCCCTATTACTACTGGTTCAGAAACAACAGATTGAAATATTTTCCATAAGGGACTTGCTGATGAATAATATAGTGAATAACTACAGGCTTTAAACTCTTGACATTTTCACAAACTTTGTAAATTTAAGACTTTTTCTGTTTTTTAGCCATTGTCAGTTAATAACATCTTAACACATTCCACTTGAGGCTGTCCAAAATTGTTTTCTCAACTCCTTGGAAAATATTCACCCAGTTACTTCATACAGAATATTCATAGAAGCTAACTCTGTAGTCACTTTAAACTTGGCAGTAACACCTCGAATAAAACTAGCAGTATTAGTAACATCTATCGATCCATTAAGAGGCATATGCTATTCAGAATTATTTGCCTTTTTAATTGACGACTGATACTGCTTCCATTGTCCTTAAGTCTCTTTTTTGGTACCGGGGATTGAACTTGGGACCTTGCGTTTGTGGAACCACTGAGCTAAATCCCCAGCCCCATTGTCCTTAACTCTTAACTGTTCTTCAGAAAGTCCAGTAGTCTTCAGTTTATTTTCCTTGAATACTTTTTGCCTTCCCTTTTCTTTCTTCCTTCCTTCCCTACCTCCTTCCTTTTTAATGCTCTATCAAATTTCAGTTTTGTCACATGTCTCAAAATATTATTCTTTTGTTTTTCAACCATTTGAAAATGTAGGAACATTCTCAGGTCTTCGGCCATACAAAGAGATGGTGGGCCAGACTTGGCCTGCAGGATGTAGTCTGCCTATCCCTGATCTAAATAACCTCAGTTTTTATTGTAATAACTGGTAGTGTAGGAGTAATTATGTAAAATTACTACACTGTTCAATAAAGGATAACTATAAAATGGTATTAGTGCTTTCCTATTGTAACAGTACACAGTTACCCAAACAATTACCTACAAACTCTTTCCAAGAGACCAACGATATTTAAGCCTATTTATCCTTTTTGGTTTGAGACAAGGTCTTGTCATGTTGCCTAGACAGGTCTCAAATTCACAATCCTCCTTCCTGAGTGTTACAAGTCATTGGGACTACATGCATGCACCAGTAAGCACATTTATCTAATAAAAAATTGGATACAATTTAGATTATAAAATAATTATTGTGACCTTTAGTCCTGATTTTTCAACTTCCTTGGATTAGGAAATGCCTGATTAGTAAAGCATGCTCCAGGGTGTATCTGGGTGTGTCATGGCAGCATGGCCTTGGGCACTTCTTATGGTCCCTATCCCATGTCTCTCAGGCAGTGTTCCCCTGCTGTTTCCTGGCCACCAGGGACTAAACAGCTTTGCTCTGCCATGCCTGTCTACCATTATGTTTCTGCCTTGGAGCCTGCTGACTATGTACTGAATCTCCTGAAAACATGAGCCAAATTCAGCCTTTCTCCCTTTAAGTTGTGTGTGTTGGGTATTGTGTCTCAGCAACAGGAAAGCTAACTAATACAATTATATAGTATGATTTAGATAAAACTATAGTTTTCATCCAAACTTTAATTTGGTAATAAGATGGCAGAGCAAAATACCTGAGAGTTCAATATTAAATTTTTATGAAATTATACAAATTGTATTTTACTACATAAAATTATAATGGTGAGATGGAGAAAACACTTCCAATTAAGTATTTGAAACAATTTCTCTTTTTTCTTCTGAAAAGGCATCATCTGTCTTCTGTCGCTTAACAGGTGGATCTTCATGATCCTCTGCAACAAATACAGAAAACCTATTTGAGATAAGGTATTTAACAGTTAAATGTACTTTAAAAAACAATACAGGCATTTTAAAGATTTTTTATTTTTAAGATTTTTCAGTCAACTTTGATATAAAATAACATTCTTGTGGATTAGATTAATGAAAGACTCTTACTAAACTGAACCATGTCCCATACTAAAATTTTGAGAAACAAGTCAAACTGAATGGTGATGGATGTTAAACCAAAATAACTTTAACTAGAATTAGTCTAATGTCCTAATTCCAAATTTAATAAACATGTATATCCCAAAGAAATTACATGAAAAGTATTATACTTTACATTTATTTCACCAGGAACTGCTCACCTAGTTTGATGGTCTGGTTCTTGTAGAGCACAGCAGCTGGGATCTGAAAGGTGATGCACAGCATTTCTTTGTTCGGGGCCACATTCCTTACTGGGTGAACTGAACTGCATGCCTCCAGGGAAACGCCTAGTGCAGTTCCAGCTCGTTGCCGCACGTCCTCAGCAGGATCAGCATCTTTGGAAAAACTGTAACAGTGCACTCTGGGAAGGAGTTCACTGCTGCATGGCTGCCCATCTAAAAGCGATCTGAAAGCACTGAGAAATTCTATAGCCTTTGCTGGCAAGTTCATAACGATGTGGATGGAGGATTTTCTTTCTTCTGACAGCTCCAGCTGCTGCAGTAACTCTTCTTTGACTGGTCCTTGGAGGAAGTCTTTCCCATCCAAGTTGAAGACCTTCACCTTTTGGCCCACTTTATTTAATTTACAATTGTGCAACAGCCATTTATGGGATTCAGGATTGAGATCATTGGCAAACACAGTACAGTTTTTCTTTGCTGCCGGAATGGTGAAGGGCCCAACCCCAGCAAAAACATCAAACAAAACATCCCCAGATTTGAGAAGGTCTGTAATACGGCTGTGTTCTGTAGAGAGGCGAGGATTCCAATACACTTTTGAAAAATCGAATTCATAAGTATAGTTGTTTTCTCGAACCTGAAAAGGTATGGTTTTTTAGTTAATCTGCTTGGTCCTAAATTTCAGCCACTGATACTGGATAGGTGTATGTATACACATGAGCACACACATTTACCTTTACCACTATCACAGCAAATAACAGCAGGTTTAAAGGCATTTTAATTAGAATCGGTGTTTATGCTATTTTGGGGGCCAGTTCGTATCTTGTGTTACATTTGTTCATGAGAAAAGTCATCTCTTTGAAGACAAACACAATCACATGAGGAATTTTTCAGAAAGGCCAAATGACTGGTTTAATTATTTTCTTAGGTCACTAGATGGAGAGGAAAAAACTATAATTTGAAACAACACACCACACATATCTTTATAGTATGTAGGTAAGGTGCTGATAATACTTCCACATAGCAAGCTTCCCTCTTTTTAATTTTTAGTTAGCAAAAGGGAGGCAAAATTTGGAGGTACGTATTCTACTAAGTCTTCACTTGAACTCTGCAAATTTCCCATCTATAAATTATACCAAGTATACAAAATGAGTCATTCCTATATTTCTTTTCCCAAATTTTAGTTTTTATGGGTATACTAAATACATACATTGAAGCTAAATCTCAATTAAAAGTAAATAAGACTTGTAAGATTTCTTTCCAGTCCATCATAGACATGTTAGAATACTGAAAATAAAACTAAAATTATAGTTATGGAATATGACCTTAGCCAACATACTAAGCTCAATATTTTATGAACGAAGAATTAAAGACCAGAAAGTTCCAAAGTTATATGAATCTGATAGATATATTCTCTATCTCCTGCTTCCTGGACTTTAACTGCAAATTTATAGACCTTTTCCCTTCCAAGGCACAGCATATGCTCTGGCCAAATTAAGGTTCCAGAGTGGAAAATGTTCCTGGAAGTTTCTGCCAACTGAAAGTCTCTCCAGGTATAACTAGGAAGGCTTAAATGTCTTGAGAACTACATATTTTACCACTTTATTTTCTGTCACTTACCCTGTCGACTGGCAATTCATTTAAAGAAATATAGAACTAAAAAATTTTAATAATAATCCATTGTATCCTTATCAGAATTTAATCAATTCTTCTGAGAAGGCTTTACTGTCAATATTAACCCACCAATAATATGTAAGTCCTTAGATTTTGGCATACTCATCAATATTGGGTGTTATACATATTTTTTAATTTTTCCACCTATTTTGATTCTAAACACTAATCTTGATGTACATCCTACTAGGATATAATGAAATATTCTGTACCTTGGTCATCATGTTCTCTTCTCCAGATAGCAGTTCCATTTCAAAATTTCGGTATGTATTGTCAATATTATTGATTTTATTTACTGCTGAGGTGATTCCTGGATTTTTGTCAATCATAACTTGGCCTAAAAGATGAAAATTAATAATAAAATACTGTCTATTGGTTATAAAATGAATGCTAAAACTGGAAATATTTAACAGAAATAAGCTGTATTTTCTTTTGGTTTATAGATTTAAAACCTATTGTACCTAGTGTGTGCAATGCTGCATACAGTTGTAGAGTTGAACAGGATACTAAAATTAATTTCTGATAGTTACCAATACACACAAAATATATGGGTACATTTTTAAAGAAAAAAATTGGGTATTAGGCTCTACCTAATATTTGTCCACATTTTTACTAAATCTCAAATGTACTAATATAAGTAAGCAAGAGGTAGACCATAGGGAAGTGGAAAAGAATGTGAAGAACCTGGCAACAAATGTTCCCAGAAAACATTAGCAAAAACATCTGCCCATCCCTACTGGGCTCAAATTAAATGTTTTACTGTGTTCTTGAACAAATGCCTCCACTTTGGAAATATATGTAAGCAAAACAATGTTTCCAACAAAAGAAACACTGATTCTTTAGAATGATCTAAATGTTCTTTTCCTCAAATATCCATAAGCAGAAAAGCTACAAAAATAGTAAAATACATCAGAAATGGCAATAACAATGATGCCCTTTAATCTGTTTTTCGTCAGCACTTTAGAAATTTATAAAAATCTATATATTACTTCATTGCATAAGAAAAAATAACTTGATTTGTAACTTAGTAAAAAGTACATGGTAATACAAATATGTGGAAATATAACCAGAATTTCACTTTTACTCTGATACTTGGACCCCTGATTTTGAATATGATAACATCAATACATTCTAATCAGTCATTGCTCTTTCCCTGATCTGCTTCAGGTATCTGGATTCAATTTTTACGGTGTAGAAGTAAATTTTTTGTTTGTTTTGTTTTTTGAGACAGGGTCTTGCTATGTAGTTCAGGCTGGCTTCAAATTCACGGCAATCCTCCTGCCTCAGCCTCCTGAGTGCTAGGATTACAGGCATGCACCACCATACCTGGCTAGAATTTTAAATGAGAAATGAAAATAAGTCAATTCTGAAGTTCTATAGTAAAATCTTTAAAATTATTACTATATGGGAATGCTTTAATTTTAACTTTTGATTGCCCCTTTATGAGTTTTAAAAAATAGGCATGCCAAAGGAATGTTTGAGTTAGAGTAGGCAATAACTGTAGGAAAGCCTACATCTAACATCTGTACCCAGTCAACACTTACAAAGTTCTGCTCAAGTATTTATTATACTACCATTGTACATTATCAATCAATAAAAACAAAGTTAATGCCTAACAGCACAGTTCTAAAATCCTACCCATGCAAAGCATTGAGTACTACATTTTAAAGCTGAAAATAATTCCTAGAAGTTTTGAAAATTTCAATTTTTTTAAAGGACTCTAGAGAACGTATGGACATCAAATATTTATATAAGGCTAAATGCAATTTTGATTAGTCCTCTACTTCTCTCTTATCCTAAAGAATTAAGGCCTTAGGTTTAAACCCGGATATACAGGGGTAGGACATTAACAGCATTGTTTTGAAAAAGCTAGAACCTCTAAGAAACAAAGTATAGTGCCTAAGATACAGAAGAGGCTTAGTTAACACTGTCTCGATAAAAGCATTAAGTAAACAGTGTTGTCGTTTTGACTATGAAAACCCATTTATAAAACCTAGTACTAAACATTATCCCAAAGGCCTAATAGTCTTGTATACCAAAACAAATTCTGTTCAGTGTAGAACAGAGTTCTGTACTGGTGTACCTAAAAGCCTAGACCAATATTTAGAACTTGCTATGACTCTGAAGAGTATGCCAAATTGGCCCTCAAAAGAATATATGCAGCTCAAAATTTGGCTTAAAATTACAATGATAAGCTGTCCTGTAATGTGGCATTTAAAAAATAATTTTCAAAACAAAAATTAGATTTTGCTGATTGCTTTCTAGTACATGAACATTACCACAACATACCTACCGATTAAATGCTTGAATGGTAGCTGATGATCTCGAAGGTTCAGGTGTGCAATATGTCCCACTCTGCTAAACCCTGAAATCACATCTTGACCTTCAGGAAGCACAGCTCTCAAGATCTCTTCTGACTTAAAGTTTTCATAAGTTAGTTCCAAATTATATTTAAATATCTGTGGACTGACATCAAGCTGATTTAAAATATTAAGTTCTGCTTTTTCAAAGGAATCATGAGTAAGTATTTTATAGGGATCCAACATAATTAATCTACATTCGGCATCTTCTGGATCTTCAATCACACGCTTTATTCCTGGGCGCTGCAGTGCTGCCCTTCTAAGGGATTGCATCAATCTGTTGACTATCTCTTTCCTCACTTTAAGCACTGGAATGGTGACTGTCTTTTTAAAAGCTGTCTTATCAAGTTTTGTCATTCCTCGAACATCAGAGGGTGGTGAAAACAGTTCAGAGTGACTTTTATTTGTTTCCATTTCTGGCATGGTTGAGACTCTTTTTCTTTGACCCAACAAGAAAATACAAGGTGCTTTCCTAAGCTTCTGTGTAAGCGCTGTCCGTGCTAGTGGAATCAACAATTCGGATTCAGTTGGGTTACACCTTTCTACTTTCAAAAGTCTTGAGAATCCAAATGGCCTCCATAAGATTCTTTAAAAGAAAAAAGTATTCATTAAAAAAAAATCATAAAGCTACAAATGAACATGTTCACAGTGGCTTTTGAGAATAAAAATCTAACTTGCTTCAAATAACCTGCTAAACAAACTTTTAATGGTGTGAGAGAAGTATACTATCTTTTGCAGAAAAGGATGACTTTTATTATTTGCAGCTTCTGTCCATCTGCTACCTGGATGAATTAGTGATCCGTCAGCCTTGTTGTACTCAATGACCCTCTTACCTACAATTTTCTATAGAATTAAGACTGGAAGACTGAGATCTGAATTAAAGAATCATCTATAAATAAAGCAGTTACTATATATCACCAAAGGCAATGTTTACTAGGTATTCCTATGCTTATAGATGCTTATTGTAGCAGATGCTATATTATCAGTATTGGGAGGCGGGTACTGGCATACTATTTGTAAATGAGCTTTGTAAACGAAGGCCCCCAAATAGGTTAACACACACAGTCCCATTGCAGGTAAGTGGTCAGGCAAGAATTTAAGCCTCAGTGAGTGTGTTCTTAATACCGTATACTGCCAAGCTGTCTGTCTTCCATGCTTTACTGGCATGTGTCCTCACTACATCTAGAGGCTTCCGCATTTTCAGAAGAGGCTTTGCTGAGTCTTGTAACCACAGTATGTTACTCACTTCGTCTTCTAAAGTACCTAACTGGCGACTACGGTGAGAAGGGCTCTGCACCACAATTCTGTACAGCAATGAAGTCAAAGTTCACATTCAGGGTTCAAACTGAATCTTAACACTTAACCAGCTGGGCGACCCTGGGTTAAATTAGTGAATCTGAGTCTCAGTTTCTTATTTGTAAAACGTGGTCAAAGGCTGTATCAAAAGGCCTCATTGCCCAGTGTCGGACCTAAGCTCAGCATGAGGGCGGGGGGGGTGGGGTGATGACCACAAAGAAACCCCAGCGAAAAGGTACCGCCCGGGCCCCCAGGCCCTGTATGCCAGGATGGGCACCGGGCCGTCACCTCCCCAAGTCTGGGCGTCGCTCCCCAGCTGGCTCGATAACCAGACCCCTCACCTCATGGTTCCGTGCGGTTCAAAAATGGATGTTTTGTGGCGTGGGCCGCGGTGACGTCATCACTGCGCCGAGGAGGGAGAAGCGTCATCAGATCTCGACGATTCCCTTCTCTCTGCCCGCCCCGGTGAAGTACGAGAACCCGGAAGGGCCCTCCCACAGCTCCACCTCTGGCGCGATTATCCATTCGGGCAGAGGGCTGGAGTCGAGCTTCGCACAGGGACCTGGTGGCCAGCAAAGGAGCAGCATGGAGGCGTCCCAGGGGAGCTGTCACACGGAGTGGGGCTGGTACGTCTCGGCCCAGCAGCCAGAAGACTCGGCGGCCGAAGAGTCGCGGCTGTTGCTAAGCAACGTAAGTATGCTCCGCGCGCGTCCCGGAGCTGACTGCCTGCTGCACAGTCCAGAGTCCGCCAAATGTTAAGGGAGAAAGCGGCGAAGCTGGGGTCTAATTCCTGGGGGCGGGACCCACAGGCAGCACCCGACTTTTTGAAGAGGTCGGCGGAGTTAGCTTTGTGACAGTGGCCTCGCACGCTGTTGAGAGAAAAGCTGAGGAAAGGTGCAGCCTTGAGCGGAGGCTAGCGCCGCTGGCTTGGGCCCCGCAAGGGCTTTGTGACTGCCCGCTGTGTGTTAGTATTTAGGTTCTCCACCAGGCTTAGGAGGTCTTTGCAAGCGTCCCGAGATGTTTTTTTTCCTCGACTTAGTCATTGGGCGGTTATAAGCATCTTAATTCGGAGAACCCTGGCAGAGGAGTGTAGGTGGCCAGGTGAGAAGCTGGGAGAGCTAGCTCCTCTCAGATCCACCTGTGCTCTGGTTTCCGGGCGAGCGCTCTGCCGCTGAGTTGTGTCCACAGTCCCGGCACTTCGGGCACTCCGCTTTCTACCTGGAATCCTTGCATTGTCGCAGTTTATAGTTTTGTTCCCAACTGCTGTTTGGGGCTAGGGATTCACAGGAATGTATTTGCCAAAGCAAGGCGAATTGCTTCTATTTATTATATTATCCCTGCAGGTAGTCCTGACCATCTGTACAGTTGGGCGGACTTACTAATTATTATAAAGATTAGGTTTGCAGTCCTAGTAATTGGGAAGGAAGGGTTGTGGACAGCAATACGAAGCTGACTCAGGGATTCTTCAGAAATCACATGAGCTGAGCCCATGTCCCTTCTGTCGGTCTCCATCCCATTCCTATCCTATCTTCTTTCTTCTCTCGAATTCACAAGATCAGTCTGGCTCTTTCTGAAGACTATCTGGCCTCTGTACCGGAAGACGTGACTTTGCCTGGGAGCTAGATTCCTGGGACACCAATTAGGAGATGAGAAGGAAAGGAAAATGGTGTTGCAAAAGCGTGGTGATTTCCAGATGTTCTCCATGACCATTTCCATGATCTTAAAATGAAATTTGAACTTCACCATTCAAAAACTTAACACTGTTAAAATTTCTTTCCTTACAGGAACTTCATAGACAGGGATCCTCAGGAGTTTCATTTGGTTTTTCAGTCTTTAATTTGATGAATGCCATCGTGGGAAGTGGCATCCTTGGCTTAGCTTATGTTATGGCTAATACTGGTATCCTTGGATTTAGGTGAGTTTTTTCCTATTTTACCATCTCCTTTTCCCATTTTAATTATATACTGAAAGTAAAGGAATAGGTTTCATAAACTACTGTTATACAATTTCTAGTTAGATTATTTCTGAAGTTTTAACCTTTTTTTAAAAATTTGCTAATCTGTTCCTAGGGGTATGCTATTTACAGTCAGGCATCATTTAAAGAGAGGGCTGTGTTCTCAGCAGTGCCTTGTTAGGCAGCTTTGTTGTTTGAACATCACAGTGTTCTTACCTAGTGGCATTGCCTGTCACATACCTTGGGTGTTTCATACAGCCTATCCCAGGTAACAAACCTGTACAGTGTGTGACTGTACTGAATCCTATATGCAGTTGTAACACAATGGTATTTGTGTATCTAAACACATTTTTTTTTTTTTGGTACCGGGGATCGAACTCAGGACTTTGCGCTTGCAAGGCAGGTGGCAAAACCATTGAGCTAAATCCCTGGCCTCTAAACACATTTTAAATGTAGAAAAGAAACAGTAAAAACACAGTGTTAACAATTGTAGCCTGTACAGAGCACTTACCAGGAATGGAGCCTACAGGACTGGAAGTTGCTGTCAGGGAGGAGTGAGTGTGAAAGTCTAGGGTACTACACCAGACTCCTTATAAACATTGCACACTCAGGCTATCCCATGTTTATAAAAACTGCTTTTCTCTCTTCAATAGTAAATTAACCTTTGCTTATTGTAACTTTTTACTTTATAAAATTTATTTACTTTTTTTATTAAATAACTTTATTATCAAACACACACACGGAAATTAAAACCATTCAAAGAAGAACAAAGGAAAAAAAACTACAATAATAGTCAAATACAGTAGAACTCAACTCAAACAAAACTAAAAGCACTTAAACATTTTTCCATATAACTTAAAAAAGCATCTCAAGCACCAACAAGACACCAGAGGATGTGATTTGTTTCAGAAAGGTCCCCAAAACCAACATTGAACAAATATTGATCTGGAAAAAAAACTCCAGTTAGCAGACTCCACATAAGCCAAACTTCTCCCTAATTTAAATTTCAATACAGTCATGTGACACGCAATGGAAACATACAAGAAATATGTTATTAGGCCATTTTCATCTGTGTGTATCCTTATTTACACTTTCAGTTTCTCACACTAGAGAAACTATTGGTATTTACACATGTGTGTCCTATTTATTTCACTTAAGAGGATGGCCTCAATATGCATCCATTTAGCTATAAATGTCTCTAGTTTCTCGTTCTTCATGGCTCCATTTTATAAAAAAAACCCACATCTTCTTTATCCAATCTCTAGTTGATGGGCACTTGGGCTGTTTCCAAGCTTTTGCTATTACGAATTGTGCAGCTATAAACATGGGTGCACATATATTGCTCTGGTAAGATTCTTTTAATTCTTTTGGAAAGATATCCAGCAGGGGGATAGCTGGGTCGAATGGGACCTCTAAGCCTAGTTCTTTGAGGTATCTCCATACTGATTTCCACAGTGGTTCACCAGTCTGCACTCCCACCAACAATGGAGAAGGGTTCCTTAAACTTTATTTACTTTTAACTTCATAAATGTTTTAATTTTTTAAACTTTTTGACTCTTATAATAACATTAAAACAAACACATTGCATACCTATACAAAAATTTTTCTTTATATTCTTATTCTATAAGCTTTCTCTATTTACATTTTTTTATATTTTAAACATTTGTTTTGGTACCGGGGATCGAACTCAGGTCCTTGCGCTTGCAAAACTTTTTATTAAAAACAAAAATATATACACACATTAGCCTCGGCCTACACAGGGTCAGGCCGGTCAGTATCACAGTATCACTGTCTTCCATTCCCACATCTTGTTTCACTGGAAGGTCTTCAGGGACAGTAGCACAAATTGACCTGTCAACTCCTGTGATAACAGTGCCTTCTGCAGCTAGGCATGGTGGCACACACCTGGATTCCCGGAACTCTGGGAGGCTGAGGCAGGAGGATGGCAAGTTTTAGCACGGCCTAAGCAACTTAGTGACTTAGCGAGACCTTGTCACAAAATTTAAAAATGTTTTTTATAAGAGTCTGTGGATGTAGCTCTATGCCAAGGCCCTGGGTTCAATCCCCAGTACCATACACACACACACACACACACACAAAAGCAAAAATCCCCAGTGCCTTCTGGAATATCTCCCTAAAGGACTCGTCTGAGGCTGCTTTACAATTAACTTTTTTCCATAATTAGAAACAATGCTCTAAACAATGATAATAGTAAACACATAGTAGTAAACACATAAACTAGGAACACATTTATTGTCATTACCAAGTATATATTATAATAATGTGTACTATACTTTTATTTGACTAGAAACACAGTACGTCTGTTTACCTCAGCACCTCCACAAGCATGTCCATGATGTGTTGCACTATATATAATGTTAAGTCAGCTGAGATTTCTTTGCTGATAGGAATTTTCCAGCTCTGTTATAATCGCATCAGACCACCGCTGTATATGCAATCCATTGTTGACCAAAATGTCATTATGTAGTATATGACTGTAGCTTTTCTTAATCCAAAAATTGGCTAGTTTTTAAAAATAGAAATTGCTTTATATCCGTAAGGACTGGGTTATTCAGCTTCTTCGTTTGTGTTGAATTGGCCAAAGTGAATCAAAACTTGTCAGCCATGCAGGTTACTGATTGATAATAATTTTTCAGTTCAGATAAAGCACCTAATCTTTTCATTCCTCTCCATCTCCTCTCCCTTTCATTAAGTAGGGAGGCCAGACTTACGTTCTGTGGCTGTTCCTTTTCATCTTTAAGACGTGGCCCATAGGCTTCTTACCCAAAATAAAAAACTTTCCTGGCTTCTCTGTATTCCCACAGTACTTTGTGTATTCATTTCATTATTATAATTTGTTATTATGATTTGTTTGCAAGTTAATCTCCTCACTAAACTCCAAAATCCCTTAGGATGGACCTTATCCTCAGCATCTGGCACCATGGCTAACAGATGAATGAATAAGTTCATTTTGTTTGTTTTGCCAGTAGAAGCAGATATTTTACCCGGAAATTTAAAATACACAGAATCTGATTTAGGTTTATTTCTTGCTTTTATTCTAAATCTCTTGATAAGCAAATCAGCTTTTAAGTAACCAATTTGCTTTTATTGTGGGCTGTGTTACAAACTTTCATGATTTTTGAACTTGAAAACTGTATGCAACACCTCAGGGAAGCCATATGAAGAGGATTTACTTTTTGGTTCTCTTTGAAAACTGGTGTTTTATACAAGAGTCTTACATGTAGATAAATATTGCTGAATATAACCTCACTAAATCATAACACATGTCCCTTTTGGTGATGTTAG